ATTTTAAAAGAATAAAAAAAAAAATTGGAAGAAATTCACAAAACAAGAGCACCACTACAAAAAATACTCAATGAAGTATTGGCCAAAAAACAAGAACAACAACACATAAACCTGAAGCCAACATACAAGACAATCACAAAACCAACACACACAAAGCGACACCCAAGCAAGGTAATAACAGGAAGAACAAAGAAATTAAACAGTACACACAACACACATATATAAAGCAAAATGGAAGTAACATACATATCAGTAATTTCACTAAATGGTAGTGGGCTAACCTCACCAAAAAACAGACATAGTAATAAAACGGATAAGAAAACAAAATCCATCAATATGCTGCCTACAAGAAACAGGCCTCACAAACACATGAGCAGACTGAAAATCTGAATGTCAAAAGCACAGCAAGCAAAGAGCAACAAAAAGAAAGCAGGAGTAGCAATATCAATCTCCGAGAAGATCGACTTCAAGGCAAACAACATAAGAGATATGTGTTAGTCTGGGTTGACTCGAGAAACAAATCCAGAGGCACTTAATTGTGTATAAGAAAGAGCTTTATATAAAAGCGCAATTGTATATTGAGAAACATCCCTGTCCAGGTCAAATCCATAAATCCAATATCATCCCATAAGTCCAATACCAGTCTAAAAATTCCTCTTTAGACTCATGCAACCATTCAATAATGCTAAACGCAGGAAGATCACAGGCCGGTGGGTGGGCAGGGAAAGGATCTCAGCACTGCCATGGGGCTCCCATGGCTCCTCCAGCTTCAGGGCTCCAGCTATATCAGTGTGTCTCCATGTGGCTTGTCAACAGGAATGTCTCAGGGAGTGAGTGTATTTGGCCTTCAGTGAGCTATTATCTCCGAAGTGTCTTGAAGTGAGGTCATCAAACTACGACATGATTGACGGTTCACCCCTTGACTCAATAGTCTCAAGTTGACACCAGATTTTGCAACTACCACAAGATAAGAACAGAGACTACATAATGATAAAGGGAATGATATCCCAGGAAGCCATAGCAAAAACAAATATATATACACCCAATGAAAGACCTTTGAAATACGTCAATCAAATCCTTACAGAATTGAAAGGATCTGGACATATTAACAATAATAACAGGAGACTAATATGCAACTTTAAAGGAAAGACAGAACTTCAAGAAAAAACAAAGACATAAAAGGTCAATAACAATAAAAAATGACCTACTAGACATATACAGAACGCATGATCGAACAAAAACATGGTATATATTTTCCTCCAATACATATGGAACAATATCAAAAATAAACCACATACTTGGCCACAAATCATGCCCCAACAAATTCAAAAAGTTGAAGTCCTATAATCTACTCAGACCACAAAGCTATAAAATTAGAAATCAACAATAAAATTCACACAAACAGACAAACACATGGAGACTGAACAACATAATTCTCAAAAACGACTTGGTAATAAGGCAAATAAAATAGTAATTAAATTATTTCAGACAAATGAGAATGATGACATAATATATCAAAATCTTCGAGAGACAGCAAGAGTAGTAATCAGAGGCCAATTTATAGCTATCAACACACACATGAAAAAAAGAGGAACCTAAAATCAGCACCCTAACACAACACCTCCAAGGACTGGAACAAGGACAACAACACAATTCCTCCAACAAAGAAAAAGAAGAATCAGGGCAGAAATGAGCAATCTAAAAAAATAAACAATGGGAAAAGTCAACAAGACAAGAAGCTGGTTCTTTCAAAAGAGTAACTAAAGAGACCTCTGGCAAATGTAACAAGGGAAAAAGAAAATATGAACATACCAGAATAAGATATGAAAATAGTGACATTACAACAGATCCAAATGAAATACAGTGAACCCTCGTTTATCGCGGTTAATCGGTTCTAGACCCTACCGTGATAAATGAAATTCCGCGAAGTAGGATTCCTTATTCAAGTCGAAATGGCGTGCAACCTCCACGATTTTCTTGCCATCTTTGATCATATCCAAAAGTTTTACCTTTTCCTGGATGGTGAGTATCTTCCTCTGGCGCTTATTTTTATTGTCAGAAGGCTTAGAAGAAGCAGCTCATTTAGGAGCCATCATAGGGCTTAGATAAAATTTCTTAAAAATCGCAAACAATTACAGTACACTGTACAAAAGCAAAGATGCATCTGATACGTAGCTCCGATACGTAGCGATGCAGACAGAAGCGTGTACAGTATGATCCAATCAGTGGCAGTAATGACAGAGCATGCGCTGTTACTCAAAAACCGCAATAGAGTGAAGCCGCAGAAGTCGAAGCACGAAGTGGCGAGGGTTCACTGTAAAAATAATAACACACTACTATGAAAAACTGTATTAAAACAAATTCAACAATCTGGAAGAAATGGACAGATACCTAGAAACACATCACCCACTCAAATTAATGCTGACAGACTTTGAAAAATTCAACAGGGGCCTCCAGGAAGAGGGCGCCCATGCAGAATCACCCGCTCTGTGCTCCCGTTGTTAGATCAGAAAATCAAGAGCATGTGGCTGCTAGCTGGAGATGCAGAGCAGACAGGAGACCCATGAGCAGTCCAGAGATACAGAGCAGAGCTCTTGTCTTCTCTGGGCTATGGATACTGGGCTAAGTCAATTTTCAAGCACATCCTCAGTCGATGTCAGCAACGTGGTCAAACTGACAGCCCTTGAATCCCCTTCCAACCTCACACTTCAAAATCATAACCCTGAGAGTGCAGGAAGAGAAAGGGGGGAGGGGGAGGTTGATAGCATTGGTGACCTTATAACCCGACTCAAGGTTATACCTGAAGAGGATTTCATAGATTGGTATCAGATATATACGCTAATATCAGACTTATGGACTTGATCTGGATGGGCTGGGATGTTTTCTCAACATACAATTGCTCTTGTATATGAAGTTCTGTCTTACACATATATGAGTGTCTCTGGATTTGTTTCTCTAGTCAACCCAGACTAACCCAGGCACCCAAAGTGACGAAAACTCTCGCGAGATGGATTGCCACCCTGGCTACAACAATGGACTCACACACAGAAATAAATGTGACGATGGCTCAGGACCTGGCTGTGTTTCTGTTGTGCTTCGGGTCACTTTGGTTCAAAACTAACTCCATGGTACTGAACAAAAACATAAAAAATTATATATGTATAAATTTTGAGGGAAAGAGTTGATTGGGAAATTCCTGAACCAATACAATATAAAAAAAAAATTTAATTTAGCAAGTTAGTAATGACATCAGACCAAAAAGAAATATCTTAAAATACAATGCTTAGAGGTTTCAGATATAATATCAACACACATTACTAAACCGTCTGTCACTATTTCTCAGTTGTATAATTGAGAAATTTTCATAGGGATGTATACATAATGATTGCTCAACTTTATCTCCACTGGTCAAATGTACTTAATATGATAATTAACATTTACTTGACCTGACCGGCCTTATAAACTAGCCATGACGTAGGGCTTTAGGTCTACTTTCCTGAAGGCTGTGATACCATTGTAAATCTAGCTGAGAATATGATCACACATATAACTTGCGATTCACCATCCTTTTTCCATCCTAACAATAAGTCCATTAAAATTGATCTAAAAAGTTTAAAAACATTTCATTATTTCTTGTTCCTAAAGGAAAGTTCACTTCCATTCAACCTTCTAAAACTTACCAAACACTCTCAAGGTAGCCTTTCCTATTTCTCACAACCTGGTATAACCAGACAATCTGCTTGAAGATAAAACGAGTTCCTTTTCTCTCCTAAGCAAAAAGCAAAATAGGAAAACTTATTATTAGTCCTGCTTCTTCTTTCTAAAATTTTAAGCCCATGTTGAACCTTTTAACTCAGTTCTTGAGGTGATTTTTGTCTGGTAGATTATAGACTACACGGCATTTTTTCATGTGTGTTAGCCACGCCAAAATGCTGTCTTTTACTACTTGCATATGACATACATGCATTTTGAATAAGAAAGGCATACACTTATGAAGGTGGCGGGAGGGAGGGGGAGAAAAAGAGCTGGTACTGAGAGCTCAATAGAAAGTAAATGTCTAGAAGAGAATGAGGGCAGCATATGTACAAACATGCCTGATTCAATTGATGTATGGATTGTGATAAGAGTTGTAGGAGCCCCCAATAAAATGATAAAAAAAAGAAAGGGTCTTTTGACACTCAAGGGGGTTGCAACCCACAGGTTGAGAACCGCTGATCTATAGGATCCCAGTCTACTCTGAAATTGATGAAATTTGTATTAAAACAAGATAACGGGAAAAAAGGCATATACTAATTTGAAATCCATCAAGTTAAAAAGGTAAATCTTAATTAAGCTTTTTGGTAAGTGAGCAGATTCATAAGGGACTCATTAACAATCAAAACAATTAAAATGATTTTATTAAGTAAAATTCATCCATCAGATGTTAGCATTTATTCAATCAGGTATATCAATCAGATAAAACAATCAATCTATGATGCTTGAACATTCATTCTCCTTGGATGTCAATGATGCCAGACACCATGTCTGTTCTAGAAAATGTAAAATCATGAAAAAGGGACAAAAAATCCTCAAATTCTGGGATGAGGAACAAAATACATACAGTATGCAGTTAGGCTAAGTACAAATTAGGAAGCAAGTTCTGGCTACATGACTCCCCATGGAGTTTGACTTGTCAGGAAAGAGCTGAGAAATGCCAGAGCATCACTCTTCTTTAGAGTCCATGTGGTTGGTCAGTCTAATCTACCCTCTACCTGGAAATTAGACTATTCAAAGAATAAATTAGATTTTGAAACTAGTAATTAACAGGGGCAGAACAGGGGGCTATGCCCTGCCTGCTAATGGAATTAACAAAGGACCCTGTGAAACAAGAAGAGAGGACTTTGTGAGAACTGGCTTGGACACACCTTATCCTGAAACCAGGCCCTCCTGGAAATCCTGCCTCAGGACTGCACTGGGAGAAAATGCTGAAACATTCTGAGAAATCTTTTTTTTCCCCTCAGGGAAGAGCGCAAGCGCAGTCCCCCACTACCACAAATTATGCAGTCGAGTTCCCCCCTTGTGGGGAAATCACAGGGTCAGCACATCATTCTGAGCAATCTTGATGCAGGACTGTACTCAGAGATACTCCTGAAACACTCTGTGACCTACTGACCCCGAGCAGCAGCCCAGATAAAAGTGAGATGACTCGTGGGACCCAAGGACAGACTGCAAAACTAATTAGAAAGTTGCTGGACATCTGCAAAGTCCCATACAAGAACTCGAAGCTTTCCCGGAGACAATTTCCTCACCTCAACTCCAAAAGAGGACCTCCTCCCTCCCAGAGGGAAGTGTCTCTCAACTGTGCTTAAAGCGGTCTCTTCTCACCTCAAGCGAAAGACCTACTGTGTTCTTTTTGAAGTGACTCTATGCTTTGATGAAATTGTGGCTTAATTCTTTGCTGCTGTGTGTGTACATTCAAGCTTGCTTATCTCTGGACACTAACCACATGGGTTTGGAGCTTGCTAGTTCTGTTACGTTTCTGGGATGGTTTGCCTCAGTTCTTGCTTCTCAATGTTGAAAGAAATCACATGGCAGAAGCACTTTTGGAAATCCAAGTAACTTTTATGAGGGAAGGGATGTTTCTGTAATACAGTCTCAGATAGTACAAGCCCTCTCTGCAAGGCATGCAAGGCTGTGTAGCAGGGGCCATGGGAAAGTTTGCAACCAGAAATGGCTGCTTTGGAGGAGCACGGAAAACCACATGAAAGGAGTAACAGAACAAGGGTGTGGAACAAGAGGGCGACTGCCCTTGGTCCCTGATTTGTATCCCCTCCTACCCTTCTAGAGGGGCATATTTGAGAGTATTGACCATTCTTAGTGGCTGAGTTCAGGCGCCTGTGTGATGTAATGTTGCTGGTGCCTATTGTGTATGCCCAGGTTCACCTTCACTTACATCCCCTAATAATAACTTGCATCAGTTATTATCTATATGTATGTACTCCTGTGCTTCACAAGCTGGTAATCACAACAGAAACACTAAATAAAAATGAAATGAAGTGGTAAGGATAAAACAATAGTAATATAAAGATAAAAATACAAACAATAAGAAAGAAGAAACTACCATCAATGCTTAAAAATTCATGGTAGGAATTTTTGCCATGGTACAAGCAAGAGATCCTGGCACTTAGAACAAATTCAGGTTGGGTCTAGAGGGAGGTCAACTGACCAATTATCAAGGTTGATCCAGCATAAGCAGGATTAGTGTGATCTGTGATTAGAAGTAAAGTCATTTCAGACCTTTGCCTGTGGCTAGAGGGGATCTGCTCTAGAGGTTAATCTGTTTAGGTGTCCTGCGATGGGTTTTGGGCTCCCACTGCCCTCCACAGCCTTCCACAAATTAGTGTTCACAATTTTAACTCTGATACCTTTTCCTTCATCATATTTGAATTTTGTTATTGTTATCTTTGAATCACATAAGCTGGTGTGCTTCTTTCAAATGGGCTTAGTTGACTCTTCGCTTAGAAGGCTATGGCTGCTTGTTTGAATATGAGCCTTTAAGACCTCAGCCTCTATTCCCATTGATAGCTGGCACCATTTTTTCTCATCCCCACACTTTGCTGCAGCACCCTTATTGTCAGTGATCATTTCATGAAGGCCAATATGGAGCAGGGCCATGATACCTGAACAAACTGTTCTTGAATCGGTGCTAAACAAGTAGGAGACCAGAATCCATTCGTTTGTCCATGGAATGTGCATAAATGAAGTACAGTGAA